GAACTAGTGCAATTCGATTTTACTAAACTATCAGCAAGATTTTTTTTTATTTTGTTCCTGTTTTACCTTTTCTTTTTTCCTTTTCTCTGTTTCAATTAAATTTCTCAATGAATTCTCAAACTCACCAACAAATTTTTCTCATCTTCAAAATGTTAAGACAACAACAAACTGTTCTTTATGCATCTAGTGAAAACATTGCTGCCAAGAACCAAGAAATTGTAGATTTGTTGCACCTTACCACAGCCGCGGACTCGGTAGCGGAAACCCGCAACATGTTGCGTAATTCCACGACATGTTGCGGAAAGACGCAACATGGTGGATAAAACACGCAACCATCGGCATATAATTTTTTATTTATATTTATTTTTATTTTTCCTTCCTTTCCTCTTTTTAAATTTTTTTCTTTTACAAGCACTGTCATTAGATCAATTGTTGAAAAGAATTTAATTATAATAAAACTTGTCTACGCATTACAGAGAAAGATACGACCAACTTACAAATCAGCTAAAGAACCAGCAGGATAATGATTAACCTTATGAGTATAGTTAATTTAAGGCAAACAAGCTTTATAAGAAGAATATGACTCTTCTTTGACCAATAAGGAGCAAATCCGTAGAAAAATGGATGATGTGCTTCTACAAAAAAGTGTTACAATCAGCTACTGTAGAAGATGTTTTAGCGTGATTCGCACTTTAAATAATTTGCTATAGATTAATAAATTTGTTCATTTAGTTTTCTCCCTTTCTTTCTCTTATAACTTTTTTTAAGGCAGCCCGGAATTCTGCTTCGTGTTGTAAGTGCTGTTATTTAAGTAATAGATACCGTAGATTATACAAACTAGGTAAATATGACATATGAAATACAAATTATTATTATGTCATTACACTTTAAAGTACCAAGAATTTGTGTGTATACATTGTCATATGCCGAAGGTAATTATCATTTGAATTTCCAATACGGTTTTTCTAAAGAGTTGTATAGATTTCGAGCCGTCTTTGGACTTGAAAAGCAGGTTTAGGCTGTGAAAATTTTTCAATTAGGCTATATTTTTTTCTTTAGGCTGCAATTTTTTCTTTTAGGCTGCATTTTTTTTTAGGCTGATAAAATGATTTGGTCTATATACTGCTACATCTCGCGGGACTCTCGAATGTTACCTGTATCTATAGGCGGCTGTTTGGCTAGTATGGTGTTAATTGGGCCCGTTAATAGTAAGTGCAAGAAGTATTATGGAGGTAAGTGCAAGAAGTATTACGGAGGTAAGTGTACCTTATTAATTTGGAGATGATATGTACAAAAATTATAATAAATAAAGTAAAATACAAAATAAAAATTGAATAAAATAAAACGTTTTCATTTAAACCCTGCTTTTTTATTATATAATGTATTTCTTGATTGCACAACAGTATAAAGGTTCATCAGCATCAATAATAATATAGTTAAAGTGATGTAATAACGTACGTACTACGTTTTGAGTGAAAGGACGCTATATTATGGTAAAAAGACGCATCAAGTGGAATTTAGTAGCTACTAGAAGTGGTATAAATACGCAACATGCGGAAGAAACCCGCAACACTAGGTGGTAAAAACACGCAACATGTAGCAAAAACCCGCAACAATAGGTGGTATAATTTTGGAGTTTTACCACATCCGGTGGTAAATGAACCACAATTCCGCAACATTCGGTGGTATAAAATGGACGTTTTTACCACCAAATGTTGCGGGTTTTTACCACATGTTGCGGGTTTTTACCACCCAGTCCGCCACTGTGTACTGTCAGTAATGTGCGTTTGCGTGGAGAACAGCAATTGCAGTACGACTTTTTTGCAGCCGATTTCTCGAGGAACTTGGAATGGCTATTACTTCAATGCCTTTGTTAATACTGGAGAAATTATCAACAGAACGTGAAATAACGGTGTGGGTGCCACAAGAGTGTCTGAAAGATACACTTTTTGGGAGGTACAACATCCCAACCTTAACGACGACGACGAAAAACAAGTAGATTGCTTCCGTGCCCCATATCAAATGGGAACGGACTCTTTAAATTGGTTTGTCAACAGGCTGTCTACTCATCCTGAATTTGATTTCAAGACACCAAACAACGTTCCTGTCTCCATCCCGATAGCTACCTGTCTTTTAAGACTGGCCAATTGTCCTTTTGGATACAAAAAAATGTATGTCCTGTATGGTTTTTTGTATGGCAGCTATACCAATTTCACGAGGCGTACGGTAAAACCATCAAAGATGTGCTTAGCTATATGATGGATTGGCATACCAATTTAGCCATGGCGAGTGCTATACCTGCTGGATTCAACAAAGCTCTCGGTGTGAGTATTCTTGATGCAATTGGTGCTATTGATGGCAAAAAACTTTACCATTCATAAGCCAACTCCAACCGCTTATGGAGCAGGGTTCCGTGACAGAAAAAACAACTACACCATTAAACTTACCGCTGTTTGTGACGATACATGTATGTTTACTTACATTCGCCAAGGAGACTCTGGTAATAATGACCAATATAAAGATAAGAGTTGGAAACTAATTTACTTTGAGTACACTACGCAGAAGTCACGATGCCTCAGCCTATAATTCCAGGGATCTCAGCTGGAAGATCATGAACAATCCTCGGCATTACTTCACTAAATGAATTTATTTTCTCGGTGATTCGGCCTATCCTAACATTGCCAATTCGGTTACACCATTCCCTGAAAGAGAATGTCTCCGGGATCCGCGCAAGAGGTTAGTCAACTATCCGCATTCAGCCAGAAGAATGGCCATTGAAAGAACTTTTGGTAAGTTCGTTCATCAGTGGAGATTCACACAATTCCATATTTACGTGTATAATAATTTGGATATCAATGATATCATCGGGTCGTGTGCTATTCTACACACTGCATGAACGGCAAGAGGGGAGCTAGGTTTCAATGGTTTGGTTCTTGAACCTGCTGGTCTTGTAGTTGGAGAGCAGGATGATACATGTGTTATAGGTAACCGTGCCCGCTTGCGCATCTTTAATCCAGCTTTCCTTAAATGTGTCAAGTACCAAATTTTTTTGAAAAATAAAACAAATTTATTATTGAAGAAAAAAGCCCATTATATTTTAGTCGATGTTATGAGGTTTATATTCATCGGACAAAGGACAAGTGATATCAAGCAAGTCTGACGGAACACGAGAAACCGTCGTCACATTGCCATCGATCGCATGTCATTGGCAGAGGGGGTGGAGGCAGTGTTGTATGGGAGGGTGCTGTTGGAAAGGGTGCTTCTGACGACGATGTTGCTGGTGTTGGTGTTGTTGGCGTGGGTGTTGTTGTACGCGCTGGTGCTGCTGGCAGAAGGACTGTTGTACTGATAGTCATTGGCTTCAGGAATACCATTGTCATCTGGGCGGAAGTAGTAGCTGGTGTGGTTGGTATAATTGTAGTCACCGTTTTCAAACGCATTGTAGCTGGTGGCGTTGTTGTTGCTTGAGCCGAAATCCCCTTTCATTACCATCAGCATATGGCGCTCGATATCCAGACTGGCCTGCAACAGCACGGCGATGCGAGACTGCACCTGGTCCTATTTGTCCATGGACTTCAACGGCTGACCAAAAAACGTTGTCGAAGGAGCAAGATTTCTACTGAACGTTCTACGCTCAGGCTCTCCACGCTTAAAACAACGTGCCTCAATCTCCTTACTAGAGGTCACCAGATGCTCGATCGTTCGGTTGACCACTCTACTTCTACTGGCAGCCCCACGAGTCACACCCTCCTCAACACCATTGTCTTCGACGGTCCTTCCTCGTCAAGCACTGACAGCCTCACCACGAATATCGGTCGTCTCTCCAGGAAGAGAGGAATACACATTAAGTGGGATCACGGTGGGCACCTCACTGGTGGCGTTCTCCATCGCATCATGGTAAGTCCAGTTTTCAATTGGTTCCCTACCAGTCGCATTCAACCTGTCATTTCGATGTCTGAAGGCAGCACAGAAAGCAGAACACTTAGACTTTAAAGCACTCGTAGATATTCTTTGTTTGGTGCTGGTTTTGGTGTTGAATGCGTGCAACATGACACGGTACAACTCATTTCGTTCAGCTAAAGTACGAGTGGACTCCAACCGGTTGTTGTTATTAGCATACAATTCAATCAGAGTAAAAGTGCTGGCTTAATTCCAGTTGCAGTGACTGTAGCTCGTATCTGAAACGTAATAGTGGCAGCAGCATCCGTGAAATCAGCATCTGTGGCATCTGCAGTGGCATCTGCAGTGGTAGTAGCAGTGGTAGTAGCAGTGGCATCAGCAGTGGCAGTAGCAGGAGCAGCAGGGAAAACGGGGGCCACAGCCGGAACGACGACAGGAACCTTTTCTTCTTCTGAAACAGTAGTAGCATGCGACGGTTGCTACCATAGCCTACACCATTAGGTGTCACTTAAATAAATTGGAAATTAATAGGGTTGTTGTTGTTGTTTTGATTGTTCATTTTAAAAAAATGAAGGTAAGGAAACAGTAATAAAATTTTATTTTGTATTTTCGCATTTTAGTTGTCTATTTTAGGACCGTTTATTTCTGGAGGCTTCACATTCGATGCCAACAGATTTTTCATTTTTGATCAGTAGATTGATAATAAAAAAATATGGGAACATTGTTTTTGACAGAATTCAATTTAGGAAAAAAATATTCATAAAAAAACATTTTTTTTAAAAAAAAAACGGAGCTTGTCCATATTAGTACATCTTCTATTTAAGATCTCAATTTATTTTGTTTCATGTCAGCAGCCTAAATCATACAAATCTGAGAATTCTGGTCCGTTATCCCTCAAAATCCGTTGATTTCAGGGTACTCCGGTCCGTTATCCCTGAAAATCCGTTGACTTTAGGGTACTCCGGTCCGTTATCCCTGAAAATCCGTTAACTTTAGGGTACTCCGGTCCGTTATCCCTGAAAATCCGTTAACTTTAGGGTACTCCGGTCCGTTATCCCTACAGATCCGATACTTAAGGGTTCCCTGATTACATTAAACTAATGACCAAAATACATTATAAGAAATTAGAAACGGTTCCGAAATGGTTCAAGCATTCTAAACTTGTATGGGGATTATCTGAGCTAATTTCACATCTAAGGTAAGTCGCAAATCATATCAGAACATCCTTAAACGTGCGCTGAATTTCAAAAACGTATATACAGTGCCCTCCAAAGTATCGTAACCGTTTAAGGTTTTCGTATTTTGTGTAATGACATCACATACTCATTCATAGGGAAACTTTCCAAACATTTTTAGTTTTCTGTTTTTTGTTATTATTAAGTTATGGATCCGGTTAACAGCGCTTCATAGGAAATATATAAGCTATTATCACTATTATAAGATGTTAAACCCTTTTTTTTCATAACCTTTACTGAAACATTTTTATTCTAAACATGTAACCCATTTTTGAGTCTACCACATTTTCGTTTAGTCCAATGCTGCTCTAATGGTGTCATTGCTTTGGAGTCTGGTTCTAGTATTGGTGTATTGAACAGAGCTATAAAAAAAATTAATCAAGATAACCTGTTCAATTAGTAGGCCTGTGAGGAGTGGATCGGGGCAAGAGCAGAACAGAGCAATTATTAGGGTGAGGACAAAAGAAACAGACATTATATATCTATTAGTATTAATACATATATAAAAAGGAATGAAGGTAGAAAAAGGTTTATTCAGAGGAGCAGGAAAAATAGATAAGATCTTGAAAACAGAAATAAGAATAAATAAACATGCTGTTAATTATCTTTATTGACAGATTGGGTAAACAAAAGTTGGGGGATCAGATTAACAAAGACTGACTATTAGTCATAGGCCGTTCCCAAGCAAAACTTTTTTTACGTTTTGGGAACAAAAGTATTTAGCTCAAAATAGTAATTTAAACTATGAAAAAACATTTTACCAGCCAAAATTTATGGGGGGTTGGGCAATTTACAAATTAGTAATTTATACCCTCGTAGGTGGGGGCTATAAATTACAAAAAAGTAAAAACATGTGAGACATGACTTAAAATAATATTTCTAATTACTAAACTAGCATGTCTTATTTACTGGTTGTATATGGGCCACATTGCTATCCTCAGTATACTAAAATTATAAGCTAGTACTTATACTGGGGGGACCAAACCTTTTTACAAATCGAGCGATTTGTTTTTGAAAATAATGTTTGCTTGGGAACGGCCATATTTAGTTTGGGACACCTTTGGGGTAGCGGGAATGAACACATATAATTTCGCAGATAGATACAGAGGATAACATGAGCTGATATTATTAATGTTTTATAAGGGAGTTCAAAGGCAGAGTTACCAAGGGAACGCATGTTAAATGGTTTTACAAGCACAAGGGACAACAGGGATACATTATTTGGAAAACAGGCGTTAGACAGGATACAATAGTGATGTTTGACAGTGACATGTGTGACAGGAGGCAGAGAACAGGGAACAGGTGGAACAGGTGGAACAGGTGGAACAGGAACAATGGGCTAGTTGGGTTTCAATAATGGTCTGAGGCATTTTGCATGATTATATGCAACTGAAACATAGGCGGTTCATGACAGTCCTCTAACTATCAACCAGCGGGTTGACCGATCGTCTTTCAGTTTTCGATCGGCAGGTTGACCGTTCGTAAATTATTTTTTGGCCGGTCGGTTGACTGGTCGATATTTAATTGCTAAAACGTGGCTGTAGTGTTCGTTATTTCAAAATATATGGAGCCTTTACAAAAACTGCAATAGCAGAAGGTCAATTATTGTGTCCAAGGTCTATTTGTATATTGAGCTGCAAATTTTATGGCTAGAAAAATAAACGCATTTTCAATTTTTTTTTACGCAATCTCTGCCGTAAACTTGATATAGTCTTACTCCTGATTATTATTCCGCCTAATCACGTGTGCAAGGAATGTCCAAAAAGACAGAAGTTTACTATTTTGGTTGCCATGGAATCTCCTGTAAAGTCTTACCCAACATAATAATTGCCTGTGTTGAAGTTACGCAACTCCTTGTAAAGTATATCACTACAGGTGTCTAGTCCTAATGTTGTATTTTGTACGCATTATAATTAACCTGACTAAGTATTTCGATACCATGTCTTATATACCAAATAATGCGATACGAATCATTTCTCATGGAAAACAATTAATATAACCTGTCCCTAAGCTTGAACCTGATAAACGTTTTGCTCTTTTTTAATTAAAATTTTATACCCCAAAAAACGTTTTGCTACAGATTTCTGACAGACGAACGATTGTAACATTTCTTTGAAACATAAGCAATTAGTTTAAATATTTAGTTATAAAAACGTTTTGCTGATAGTTATCAAACATTATTAGTGCTAAAATATTAAAGCGGGGGAGCATAGGGAAAGCCCGTCGTTTGAAAGAAACAAAAAGAGCAGACAGAAATTTTTTAACACCCGACTTCGATCCAATCTAAGGCTATAAGATGAGAACGAAATGCTTTTAATTTAGACATCTCACCCGTCTTTTGAAACGTAAAACAATGAATGCTTATCGGTTTTTTTCTTATGATTTTGTGCGTATACAATGATCGTGGAATAGACATAAAACAGCTATTTCTGATAGTAAAGTAGCGATAGTATTTAATATAGCTCTCGGCTACTATTAAAAGAAGAACGCGAAAAAGAAAAACAGAATAATTCGACTTTTGCACCTACATACAAAAAGTCGCTTTCCGACAGGTACGCGATTGAATCCAAAATGCATATTGAAAGGTGGTGATGGACGACAAATTTCTTTATCTCTCACCCTTTTCATTGTTCGACATCAAACACAAAGAAAGCATAAATAACTAAATTAAATAACGTGCATGTTAGTATCAAAAGCGAATGTAAGTACAAGGTAAACCAATCATCTTGTAAAAGATAACCAATTATTTTTGTTAGATCCAGAAAACTATGCCATCTTATTAGTCAAGGTTTGAGAATGTCAAATATTCAATTACCAACCGAAGAAGGTGAGCTCTTTTTTATTTTAAAAATGTATATATATTAAGATGTACATAATCAGAACAATCTACGCCCTTGCCCATTGGGAGGAGACCGATGGCAGTGCCAATGAAAAAAAATGGCCGGAGAAAACCAAGACGGTAGCTCTTCCGGTAAGAAAAAGAAATCGTACGCCACCAACCCGTACGTCGATGACGCGGTCTCGTTTTAAAATGACACTCAAAAATCCGATGAAACCAATGTGGTCACACCAGTACAGGTGCCTACCACCTCTGCAAAGGAGGCTGATGCAATTGTAACGCCCACAGTGGCGATTAGACAAAACAAGTCTATCTTAAATTAGGAACTTCAACTTAAGGCGATTAGAGTATGAATAATGCCTACTCTGACCTAAACTACCCAGCACGAAGATATAAATAAGTTTTTAAAAGACATCTTCTTTTATTTTAATGCCGGTCAGACATACTATGTGTTGCGAAAGTGTATCCAATACGTTGGATGCTATCCCTTTTTCTGTTTCTTGGAAGAGTCACAGTTACAAGGCAAAGGATTACTCAAGAAACACATGCAAACAATAAAAGGTAAAACATACATGGCCTATTGCATACAGTAGTCGCTCGATTTAAGGATGACCAAAAATTTCGGAAATCTCACCCTTAAATAGAAAATACCCTTAAATCGAAAAGCGTGACTATTTTAAACAGAAGTCACTACGCCATTTTTAACCGTGAAATATGATCATTACTGCGAAATATTTATTTTTATTCGGGCATTCAATAAATCTGATCAAAAAGTTAGAAAAAAGTCAAAAATACACTGTCAAATCGTTGGATTTAAGGGTATGGGGAATCGGAATCTCACCCTTAAATAGAATAGTGGTTTAGTGGTGTTAATGCTGGGGACGGAAGCTGTTTTTCCAAAATCCACCCTTAAATAGAAAATACCCTTAAATCGAACACCCTTAAATCGAGCGACTACTGTACTTTAAAAATTTAACCTTCTTTTAATAGACGGTCAACATAGTAAGTACCAGACCAGACTATTAAAAGCTGCTGGTAAAAGATTCCATGTCTTGTTCAAGGAGTTCAAGTACGGGGCTCTTGCTATTGTAATTCCTTACTCCGTTGCAGCCTTTGAACGATGGAGCAGGGAAAAATTCAAGAAGTTCATTAGTGTTATCAAGCAGGATAAGGCCTTAACGAAGAACTACAAGATCTTCAGCTTCGCTCGACTTCTTTGAACAAAACTGGAGAATTACACTACATACATTATAAAGACAGCGACTACATATATTATAAAGACAGCGACTACATTTATTGCAATGATATTCAAAATAATAAAGAAGTTCACTTTTGCTACTTGGCTTTCATTCAAGGTCGTAGTGTTTCATTGATCCTAATTGTGACAAAATGAAATATTTATACGAAAGACCAGTATTTTATTTTAAATTTTCTTCCTTTCTTATCAATAACAAGAGTCGCGGCTCTTTAGAACGTAACCCACAAGCAAAAGATAGTAATGCAGTGTGAGAGACTAACGCGGTGAATCGTTCTATTAGAGTGCCAAGACCTATAAGAAGGAATCAGTACGACATTCTTCTTCCATGTATAGAGTCATCAGTTTGGGTAGATAAATTGAAGTCAGCAAAGACAGAGTCAAGTGATAGACGAGGAACACAAACCCCGAGCTTCTTCAAAAATGAGTCAAGCTAAACAAAAAAAAAAAAAAGAGAGAATGTATCATGGTGGCCTGTTCATGGTAAGTGCATTGATTGATGGCCAAATCAAGTAGATTCTTTATGAAGGGGGTTGTCAGGAACGAGGGAGGAACGAAACAGGAAGGACAGGACAGAGAATGAATAGCTTCTTGAAGCAGGTTATTTATTTAAGAATAAAAGGGAGGAAAGAAAAGAGAAGATGATTATGAATTATATCTGATAAAGAAAACTGGGAGAAGTGAAATTTATCAGCTATATTTATAGAGAAAGGAAAACAAGAAATTAAATAAAAGAATAAGCAATGACAAAAGTTAGTCATAGCTTATGTGGATCATGACAAAGGATTTAAAGAGCTGACAGATCAATGATAAATATTGAGTCTGAAAGCTGGTTACTCATATTGCATATTTGGGGCATAAAATGTAACAGGATCATGACAGGGGTTTCACTTTAAACAGTAATGATAGATTCATTTTGTTTACACAGAAGGATGATGAACAAGTAAAGAATAATATTGTACAATGAAAGAAAGACTCAATGGAGTATAGTAAAGGGAACAACGCTTACAGTAAAAGGATGTATCAAATTTTGACCGAGAAGCTGATCTTTTTAATACAGGTCTTGGTGTAATTTGTAAAGATGAACGTATGCTACTATCGTGTATGTCATGATAAATAGGATGAAGGCGTATTGGCTTTAAACACGAAGCATAAAATGCATTTTAAATGAAGGAAAACAGGAACAAGAGTATGTCACGTCTTTTCTATGTTAAAAAAAAGTTGAAGCTAAGTAAAGATATAAGTCTTTGTAAGGAACAAAGGACAGCTGTATAAAGTGGAAAATAAATGACAAGTCTATGTATTCTTTTTCATTTATTTTTATATTGATAGTTTAATTTATATCTAAAGGGCCATAAAATTTAGAACGTTGATGTAACCTCTATGACTGATAAAAGCTGTATGGGAAACATGTCGGTATGTAAAGAAGGAACAAACGAAACAAGTAGCAACAAATGTAAATTGAAAGTGGTGTATGCGCACGGGCGCAAGCAAAATCAATGGCCAGCAGAAAATCTCCGCACACGTCATCTATCCTCCCGGTTCTTTCTTTTTCTTTATTCTTTTCTTTCATCTGCCGCATTATTCAAATCTTCACGTATCCTTAAAAATAACTATCTACACCCTTTGTACTGCCAGATATCGTATAAGAAAACAGCTTTATGTGTAAAGGAGGAATCTAGTGATGGGACAGGGTTCTTTAGGTCTGTGTCCTTTATTGTAAGTTCTGATGCGCCACGGTGTAAAATCTGATGTGAAGAAAACGTAAAGGTAAAAAGAGAAACATTTAAAAAAGGCACGTTTGAACACGTTTTTCACCAACACTTTCTACAGCCATACCGCCCTAGGAAGAAAATAAAGTTGCGAAAGAACACCCATGCCATTTTTATAATTATAACACCCAAGAAAAAGGACTCTTATTTCCTTGTTCTTTCTTTCATCCATCTACTCTACAAGGACCTTTTTTACCACTATAAAAGAATAACACTGCTTGTAGTCTTCAATATCATGAAAAGAAAACACTACCTTCTTTCTCTGTGCTGTCTTATCCATACATTATTGAGTTCATAGCTTGAGGAAGAATCTTTTTTCAATCACTCAAAAATAAACAAAACCGATGAAAACCGACTGTACTATGGCTTCATTTGTGGTTAGATTTATCCCTCTCTTACTCCAGCAAAACAAAAAGAACTATTGCTACATTCTACTGTTGCACGGCTCTTTAACTTTTTTTAAAAAAAAGATGACCAAGAGGGATCTCTTTATATTAGGTGTGCCTGTCTACATAGACAAGCCAAATGACTTGATGACTCGTGTATACAACACCAGCAACCTTTTGTATTATACCTGTGAAGAAGCAGCAAGTGAAACGCGTCGTACATCGTCTCTTTTGTTTTGGCGCATTATTTAACAGTCTAGGTAATGCGCCAGTAATATTATTGGAATACTTGTACATGTAACTCATTCATTTCTTGTAGAAGCAAAACTCAAAGCATACAGTAACATCAACAACGGTTTGAAAATTGGAATAGGTTTCGAATCATCAAAAAAAAATGTAAATTACACACGAGCTAAGTAAAATATCAATGAATAAAGTAAAGAAAAGGTTACTTTGTAAAATATCTGAAAAATGACTATAATACCAACTAATACTTTCAAAAACCATACTGAATGACCGCAAGCACATATATAGACTAAGTAACATCTCCAAATTAATCCTAAAATTTAAAAAGACGCTAACACTATTTCGTTTCAAGCGGAAAGAAATTGGAAAAAAGGACACGTAAGACAAAAATGGAAAAATATTTGTCGAATGGCAAAAAATTGTTTTAACTACATATCAATAGTTTAATTATTCCTAGAATTGTTATCATTAATGGTAAAAACAACTAAAGAAAGAGTGACCAAAAAATCAGACAGTACATAGATGTACTACTGGTAATAAGTATGTAATATGTAAAGATTTTTTGCGGGGTCACTAAGAATTACATTGTCTCAAGCTATAAAGGGAGCTGCCTAATCAAATTACCCTGAAAAAAAGGTGATTAATGATTCGTGAAACTATTACTTAACATTTTTTAACAAAATGATGGACGAGTGTGAAACGACATTTGTAAAGATCTAAAAGCATGAATACAGCTAGGGGCATTTTGAAAAATTCAGCGCACCGTTTAACCCAATACGAAAATCTTATCACAATGTTTGATGATATAGCTTTGATAATGATTACGGATCTACACCAATGAATAAATAAATAAGAAATCTATTTTCCGACAGTTTCAATAACTGGGGTAAATTTTTGAACTATTTTGACTGTGTCTAACGAGTGTCTCTACAAGAAATAAGTAAGATAAATCCAACGTTGAGAAAGAAGTAGAAGATTAATTAAGAACGCCCCAAAGTAGATAAGACATGAGTTTTCGCACAGAGACAAGAAGTAAAGATTGAATGGAATAGTTTAAACGAGCAGTAGAAATAATATACACTGCATACGGATCAATAGATGATCAATTAATACGATATTGAAAAAACTACGACGTAGAATAAATAAAAAATGGCAATATCAGCAAAGTATATTTTATAAGAGGCTTCCTGAGAAATATGCCGGCCAACATAAATTACTTTTTCTGAAAGCCCTGGAAATTCTGAACAAGAATATGCTAAAGAGAAAAAAATCGCACCGCAGGGTCGCGAGTAATTGGCTGTCAAAGTTTAAAATATCCTTGCTACGTGCACCTAAAAAATCTTAAAGCCTAAGCCTGGGCCATTTTTAGCGCTATTAAAAAAATAAAAAAAATAATACCAATAAAACAAACAGGTACTCGGGTGTCGAACATACACTCTCGTCGATGCATGCTGCTCGCTTTCCCTGTTTGGCCACAGAGGGCTTGAAGATTCACTGTTCAAATACTTTATATTGTTGCTATGAATATAATATCGGCAGAAATTGACCAAATGGTATAAGGGCTTTTTTGGGAATAATTTGATAGTTCTTGATATTCTTTTAAGACGCTGATTTACCTGTAAAATGATAGGGGTTGATGCTCTATGATGTGGTTTTCTGTCATAGATAAGCTGATACGATGGACATCGGAGCTTAAAACATTTTTTAATTTTAAACTGTCGGAGTTTCAATTTTTGGTGTACTTTTGGTGTTCTCAAACAACTTACTTAAAATTTTAAAGTCTTGGTTTTAACAAAAATATTTTGGGTGTTCCCAAGCAAAGTATTTAAAATTTTAAAATAAATCCTTTAATTCAAATCAAAAGTCACAAATATCACAACTCCAATTTGAGAAAATGCTAAACTGTCATTTGTACATGGTGTTGTGTTTTAAGGTAAGGTTTAAATTATAAAAAGACTATAGGAGTAGTTTGAGACTGTTTATAAGATTGTCCTTTATTAATAAATGAAATATACGAGTATTTATATAAAAGACTGTCTGCTGTGTTCATATCTCTAGTGCTATCTTGAAGCTATCATTGATTAACCAAAAATGTATACGATTATTACATAGTCACTAATTTAGTCTTGTTCTAATAAATGTTAAGTCTTCTTAACTCTCTTTGCTTTAAACTAAATTTTAAGTATTTCTCAGACGTACTAAATTAGACTTGTGATGTAATATCCTTATAGTTCTTACTATGACATTTATTGTTAAGCTTATATCACAAATGGTATCAGCATGGATAAACCTTTGTTAGCTCTAATATGGCTATAGCCTTGCTAGGTCACCACACATGGCACAGAGGCCAATGTTATTTTATTTGTTTCTTGTAATCTTATCAAAATAAACATACTTTACCTTTGCCTCTACCTATTTGAAAAAGGAACAACCAAAATAATGCTTCTTACTCTATTTATGGTCACGCTGAGAGCAGCCAGAATGGATGTGTTGGACGTGAACGTGAACGTGGAAGTGGAAGTGGAAGATGCCAAAATGAAGATGATTTTGACGGCTGGCAATGCTTCAGAGGATCTGGATGGGGACAAGCGGAGACCTTGTTGCTTATTGAAAGGTATAAAGAGCACTTCCATGCTATGGATTCGGTTAGAAGCTTGGCGGAAAAAAAGAAATTTTGGACCTTCTTGCGAGTGAATTTCCTGCAGCAAATGTTGAACGTGCTCCTCGGAACGACGAACAGTTGAGAAGCAAGTTTTCAAATCTTTTGCAGGATTTCAAAAGACATTAAGCCACCCGTAATTCTACTGGACAAGCAGCACCCGCTCTTTCTATCATTTATGACAAATTATATAGCAGTCTTAAAGACTTACCTTCATATTTTCGACCTGTCACTTATTCCTCAATTTCAGAGGAATTCAGAACAAGAATTGAAGATGCTCCGGAGGATGATGACAATTTGGAGCCTGAGGTTATTGCTGGTCCTAGCCAAAATACTGCCCATATGAACACTGCTGACAATGTGTTACGTACTTTGGATACCCAATCTGCAACAGCAGGTAATGTACGTTCCGAGGGAATCTTTGCTGTCGGTGAACAAGATCAACCTCCCACTGCAAGACGCAGATTAGAGACACCCCGTGTGTCAACAGCCGCCACATCTCCACCAGCAACAACAACGGCACCAATAGCACCAGCAGCACGCGCATCGGAGCCCTTTCAACCTACCCAGCTAAGAGTAGCTTCGATGTTGTCTTTACCATCGGCGTCTGAACAACGCATCGAGAACAGCATGTTGCGTGTCTTGGACCGGGTGCAACAAACTCAAGCTTTGGAAAGGGACAACCACTTTCAGTCCTTTCTTCAGTACAGTCCGGAGGCCAATGCTGCCTTACTTGCACGTAGTAATCGAGTAGCAGAACTGTTTGCTCAAAGTAACAGAAAAACTGCAAGACTTGTTGATGCGATCCTTCAGGATATGACCAATCGAAACCAACAGTGTCAAAATAATAATAATAATACTGATCAATAAAAATATAAAATTTTGTTACAAACATTAATGGTTTATTGTTGAGGAGGCATACTGCGGTTGATGCTGTCCCTTCTAGTTTGACCATTCCGATAGGCTGTGCTGTGGACTGACTGACTAGAATTATCCGGCCTAGAAACAGGCTCATCGCTCGTCACATCGTTCGGCTCATCTTCTACTAATTCCAGAACAGGGTCATTCATGTCAACACACAGATTGTGTAAAATACACAAGCTGTGATAATACCCACAATATCGCCGGTATCCTTGATGTATATATGTTTGCTGAGGAATCTCCCGCGAGAAATCAATATACCAAAAGCTCTTTCCATGGCCATTCGAGTTGACGAATGGATCTTGTTGAACTTTTTTTGACCAAAGCATCATCAGATGTTCCAAGGACTTCCGAAGAAGGGTAAGGCACAATTATATGGTGCCATAGCGGGTATGCCGAGTCTAAAACATATTTAGTTTTTTTCGAAGATTTTATTCACGCTTATATATTTTACCTGCAAGGATATACCCATTCAAAGGAAAGTATTCTTGGGGGTTTTCCAAGGCAACTGTTGCTATCTCGCTGAGGTTGAAAGCAGCAGCATCGTGTGAACGACCTATGTCAAAACAATCAACATCATTGCATACAATCGGACAAATAAATTATTACCTGAATCACTAACCTAAATGTAAGTAAACTTACTCTTATCATCACATACTGCCGTAAGTTTCATGGTAAAGTCTCCCTTACAATCCCTCCAATCCTGGGCATGTTCCGTTCTTGATTCAATCAGAAAGTTCTTGCCGTCCAAAGCTCCAACAGCTGGTAGACCCCGAACAGTGCGGCCCATACCATACTCGAAACCATGTTTGATTGCAGCGACACGCTGCTCGTCCTTGGGCCATTCGATAAGATGCTTAAATTTGTTAACAACGGCTTTTACAAAACGTTGCGTAACGTTTCTGTAACTACCGTGAGAGACTCCTATAGTCAAGTGAGCGCAGCGATAGCCAACGTGACAGTTAGCTAGGCGCCAAATTGCACATGAAATCTGGACGTATGGAGGGATAAGGTTTACATCTCTAGAATAAAAAGCAGGATCTCGCCATAGTTCGTTTACAACCCTTTCAAACGTAGTGCGGTTCATACGGTACATGGCGCGATAGCTGGTTCGTGGATTGTCGTCATCAGTCAAAAATGGGTGAGAGATGCGGAAGTAATGGTAGTTGGCGAATGAATGGCGATTGTTGACCGGCTCAGTTGGGTATGTTAAATGAGCTTGACTGAGAAAAGGCGTCAACTCAAAGAGAGAGGACGAATCTAAAAACGTGGTCTTGTAATAAAGAAAAACCTGTTCGTTCAATGCTATTTGACTCTCAATGAGCTGCTGGTATTCAGCGAGAACTAAGTTGCGATGGTTGCAAATACGTTGTTAGTAGTAATATAACTTATCGTTGTAAGACATTTTTAGTATTTGTTATGAAAGAAAAGAATTCCCACACAAAATGAGTGATGTGATTTTAGTACTTTTTCGAGTTAAAATGATATTTTAATGTCAGAAAACATTTTTTAAAATTTTAAATAATTTGCTTGAGAACACCCCTAACCTTTCAGATGGGATATTAATTTTAAGGAAAATGTGTTTTACCCATCTAAATATTTCTTTCTGCTTAAATTTGTTTTAGGTACCACCTAAAAGCAGATGCACTCTATTATTAGCAGTGATACATTGTTAAGATGACGAATATAACCGGGTTTACTCAATCTGAGTATGATGTATTGCAGAGAGCGCACCAAAAAAATAATTGGGCGAGAAATAAGCGTTTAAAGTTGATTCGGGTAATTCTAAAAAGGAACGAGGTGGTTTATTGTCGTGCGGAAAAAATGCAACTTTTTAATCATTTTTGACCATTTCCATCATTTTCTTTTTTTTTTAATCTTTATTTCGTCTTTTGCTCTTTTTATCAATGTTTGCAATAAAAACAAAGCTAACCATACTATTCAAGCTGTTCGATAGGCAGAACAAGGGGATAAAAGATGAAACAAAGGATGATACGCGTAATAAAAGACACATGAAATCATACGCTTGCTGTTTAAAAGTATGACTTTATATGGTCGTGATATATGATTCAAAGTAAATGTGCGCCTTGGACAAGTGAGAATAAATATGTGCACTGAAACTCGAACGAACATGGATAGAATATCTTGGTGTGAATAGATTTAGAACGACGTAGAGAGTATGAATGAAAGAAGAGTTGGTTGGCTAACATTGGATAAGTCTGTGGGAAGACTGACTTTATATGATTGGTGTATTTTGCGACAAGGATCGCCACCAGCAACCACAACAAGGGCAACATCAGAGACCACAACAGCAACCTCTTCAAAGGAAGATTCTGACTTTGTAGCAGCAGCTACCAGAATGCTAGCTGACGTTGAAACAAAAACATCAGGACGAGCGCAAGCACAAGCACAAGCAGCAGCACAAGCAGCAGAAACAACAGCAACAACAGCATCAACAGCCACAACGGCAACAGCAGAAACATCCACAGCAGTGGCTAGATCACTCACAGTAGACCTTCTGCATTGGTTGAGGAGGTGCAGGAAGCTGTGGAGGCAGCAACAAGAGCAGCAGCAGCAGACAGAGTAACCATTGCAGGAGGATTGGAAGATTTGGAATTTTCTGAACTTCGTAGCAAACTGATGTTGCGTTTGGAAGAAAAAACAATAGCCGTGCGTATACGAATACATTGGAAGATAGAGCCAACGAGCTCAATTTGGTTGTGCGTAGAAGTGGTACTGGTGCGGCATTAGATGAATTGAGGGAGTCAAGAAACTTGGAATAATTTACGGCTCAATTAAGCCAAGTAGCTGCAACTACCAATTTCAAGAATGAAACAGGCCAAGTGATGAAGAATATTTTGAGCCTGTATCAATATATGACATTTGTGCAATCTATCTTGCATCGATTCTATTCTGCACATGATGCGCAGGGGGAAAAGTTGGCGAATGGTGCTTCGGCTGCAAAATTTTATGAAAATAAAATTAAAGGTGAACGCATCATGCGCCTTTACGGCCTGCTTGGAATTAAAGGAGTGTTAGCCGTGAAGATTATTACGATAGGAAGTTATAGATTGGATGAACGAAGTTTACGTGAAAATACACTAGCACGCAATAGCCATTCGACGTAGCTCTAAACTGTCCGCCGCGCATTTTTTCTATGTTTGCTAGGTGGATTACTCGATGAGTTTTAGTGATAAAAACAAAATAAAAATACAGATAGATAGGAAAGAAGCTAAACTATTTTTACAAACGTTTAGCAACACCGGACAAGTGTGGGAACGATACAGACAAGAACGTTATTCTACGTAACACAACGAGGTCTTTTTAACGGTTCTACTCTTGTTCCAAAGAACGGTGATCCCATTGACTTATTTATGTTTTAGTACCATACACTACGCGCTCTACACTATTCTTCCCTCTGAAGGCCTATCCTTGACAGACATAGCACTGTGAAGAATTTGAGCTTAGCTAAAAGATCTTTTGTGTAACTCAATTGAGTTTATTAACGAATTACACAGCAATAATAAAACAATAGTTCTTTCCATTTTATAATTTTTGGTCGTTATTAGCCTTTTTAGAATAAAGCGCAGGATAAGCCAGTTTGACTCAAAAGGGATTAAACTAAGACATAAATCAGAATCTTCGACTTTATTGTGACGTGATCCGTTAGAATACACGATAGGAAACGTACCTCAATTCAAGCTACAGCCTGAAACCCGTCTAAATCTGTCTCTCATCAACATCTTACGATCAGAGACTGTCCATTTGTCGTGATCGAGGCTATATACTTAATATATGACTCTATCTACACTTCTTAAATCTTCCATTTGATAATCCTAAATATAATTCTTATTGATACTGTTATATTAAATACTGATCATTTACTTTATGTACAGGCTTGATCTCATATCATCCTTCATACAAGTATAAGGCATACATTTAAATAATAACATGAATATGAAAACATATGAAGGTTTCATCAGCCACGTTGAGGTGCCACAGCTATCTTTAATAAGAACTACATTTTCCCCTGAATATTGTGATACAAGACATACACAGTTTAAGGATGAATGTTATTGTTATTGTTATTGTTATTGACATCTCATTATGGTCTTTCTATATGGGATCATTACATCCGAGTATTATCTGGATAAATCTACCCACGACCGTCATCAGCCCATCTGTGATCAATGTCTGAAATAATGTGTATATAAAGACCCCCTTTTATTTGTTTAACAAAGCTTTAGTTTATTTTTGCAGTTTGATAATTTCACTTTGTTAAATTTTACATTTTATTCTTAATTCCCTATTATCACTCTCGAATTTCTCAAGCAGAATATTGCGAGCTACATAAATCTAAGAGCGTCAAGAAGCAAATATAATAACGTACCCAGGTCGATTAAGATGACAAGAGACTCTTGTATTGAAGAAAAAGGTAATTGCCAAGACGACAGACAATTCAATTTATCAAGTAACTAAGACAACAAGATATATAAGGCGACTAGATATCTTGGACAACCATAAGACGAAGATAATATGATATCTATGACAGCAAGACATACGGGACAACAGTATATCCAAGACGTCAATGTTACTAAGGTAACGAAATATCCAAGGCAACAATGTGGCTAAGGCAACGAAATCGCTCAGCCAACATGATATTCACGACAACGAGAAATATAAGACAACCAGATAAATTAGACAGCCAGATATCCAAGGCAACGACGTATCTAAGCGAATATTATATCTAAGACAAAAGATACCTAAGACAACGGATATCTACGACAATGGATAATTACGACGACGGATATCTACGATAACTTATATCTAACGCAACGAGGTAAATAGAACAACAAGATATCTATGACAAGAACATCAATTAAAAGACAACAAGATATTCGAGATAACATGAGACTTAAGACAACAAGATAATAGTGTTTCCATGACAAAAAGTATCTTGAACAACCAAACAAGTATGGAAACTAAATAACTATGATAACAACATTTCTAAGAGAATAGGGTATCTAAGACGACAGGATTTCTAAAATGACAGTATACCTCAGAATACCTGTAACTCACACAAAATAATACCTTAGACAAACAAATCTTTATGACAACAAAATCACTATGACAACATATTACGGAGGCAACCAAGTAGCTAAGACGACAAGTTATCTAAAACAACTAAAGATGTAAGAGAAGTAGATCGCCAAGACAACAGGAATGCAGGAGGACAAGATCTGCAAGGCAACCATGTATCTAAGACAACTAGATTACCACGGTACCAAATTATTTATGACAACCAGTTATAAAGACAACCAGTAAGCTAGGACAATCAGGTAGGTAGCAAAACAAGATATATATGACAATAAGATAGCCTAGAAAAGAAAATATCTATGACAACTGCATATGTAAGGTAACATGATATATAAGACCACAACATATCCAGGACATCATGATATCTAAGACAACAAGATCTCCTAGACAACCAGCTAACTATGACTACCAGATAATTATGACTCCGAGATAAATATAACAACTAGACAACTATGACAACTCAATATGTATCACAACTAGATAACTATGAGTAATGATATCAATATGACAACACAGATCACTATGAATACAAAGATAACCATGACTACCAGATATCTATAACAATCACATAACTATGTCAACTAGTTAACTATGATGAATACATAACCATGTCAACTAGAAGCCTATGACAACTAAATACCTATGACAACAGGATGAATATGCTAACTAGATTTCTATGCCAACTAGATTTCTATGCCAACAAAAAGAATAACAGCGACAATTAGGTCATTAAGACAAATACAATAATACGAAGATCAGTTATCACCATGACTAGGAATGATCACCATGACTAAGATTAAATACCATGACTATGATTAATTAACATGACCAATATTGATCACTATGACTATGATTATTCACTAAGACCACGATCATCACCTAGGCAACCATCCAGACATAGACAACTATACTCTCCTAGACAACTATCCTCACCAAGACAACCCATGATCACCAAGACAACCCCATGATCATCAAAACAACCCCATTATCACCAAGACAACGAGATTACAATTGATAATAAGAAAATAAGAATACACAGACAAGAAAGTAACTAAGACAACGATGAAGAGGAAACAAGACAAAACTTAAAAGAAAATGATATACATGACACCGCAATAACCTAGACAACAAAATATCAAAGAGAAGAACGTATCCAAGACAACGGGGATATCTATGGCAGCAAAAGATCTATGACAACAGGATACCCAAGGATACCAAGTAACTAAGATGTCACAGGACAACTAGATAACCATGACAGCATAAGTACCATGACATTAAACTATAAATATGGATATTATCGATTACTATGACAATATTTGATAACCAAGACGATTAACGATCACTATGGCGAATAATGACCACCCATATCACCATGAACACACATATCATTACCTAGACAACCCTTACTGCCCTCGACAACCTTATTGCCCTCGACAACCCTGTTGACTACGACAACCCTGTTGACCACGACAACCCTGATGACCACGACAACCAAGCTGCCTCTGACAACCCTGTTGCCCTTAACAACGCAGTTGCCCTTGACAAGGGGAGTCAGAAGGAGTAAAGGGGAAGGTAAGAAGAGAGTAAACATAGCTATACAGACATAGGGTATTAGGCGAAAATTGGGGGTTGGGGTTGAAGGGTTCTAGGGTGTCTGCCAAATATATGCTCAATATTAGTGCAGACAGCACCCTGTTACCAAGGTTCGGTTGTAGAAAGCCAATTTTCAAGATGAATAAGCCTACGCATGCAAGATTTCTCCCAACAATCAGGTACCATTTCATTTCATAACCCAAAAAGTCAGACATCCAAAAGTCAATCACCCAAAGGTCAAGAAATTGAATTCCGGATCCTGAATATTTAATTACCGCTCATGTAGTACCATTTTAGGACCATTTGGGCTTAAAAATTCAATTCCCGCTCACGTAGTACCATTTTATGACCTAATGGCCATAAAAATTCAATTCCCGCTCACGTAGTACCATTTTATGACCTAATGGCCATAAAAATTCAATTCCCGCTCACGTAGTACCATTTTAGAACCATTTGGGCTTAAAAATTCAATTCCCGCTCATGTAGTACCATTTTATGACCTAATGGCCATAAAAATTCAATTCCCGCTCACGTAGTACCATTTTAGGACCATTTGGGCTTAAAAATTCAATTCCCGCTCACGTAGTACCATTTTATGACCTAATGGCCATAAAAATTCAATTCCCGACTCTGTGGTACCACTGTGTGACCTATAGATCGAAATAATTCAATTCCTGGCGATGTCGTACCACTGTGTGACTTAGAGATGGAGAAAATTGAATTCCGGACGATGTAATACCATGCCATAATTTTACCATGAACAGAAAAATATTAAATTGACATGTTGCCTAAAATCCTGCTAGTAGACACACACTACTGTATGTCATCGAGATAGTAATGTACAACCTCCTAACAGCCTACCTAAGAAAGCCCAGTCGTAGCTGTTATTATTCCTGTTGCTGGTATACTCCATTCATTGTCCCCAAAATGTGCAAGATGTCCCCCAGTTACACCTAGATGGTTATTATATTATATATGAGCGACGTAAATATCATGTGACCTCACGTGAATATCATGTGACCTCACGTGAATATCATGTGACCTCACGTGAATATCATGTGACCTCAACTGATTATGATGAGACCATAACAATGGCAAATGTCGCCATGAAAACATTGAGTCAGACAGTGACGGTAGCTGTCAGGAGGGGATAGGCAAACAGGACAGATGGAACAATACTTACAAGGACAACGAAAGAGAGGATAATTATTCTATTTATTATTAAAGAGAGAGAGAAAGAAAAAAGGAGAGACGGTTATTAGATAATATATGCTATGAAGGGCAAGAAAGAAGAGGATAGTTCGGCTACATTAAAGGTAAAAGGATTTTATAGTTACTGTATTCTGCTTAAAATTAAACAGTGATTAGATGTAAGAAGTCATTACTTATGACAGATTTAATAATTGATGGCTAAGACGTAGTATTATTATTTCTGGACTCCACTTGATATTTATGAAGCA